ATATACTGCAACGGTATACTATAATAATCGAAGAAGAACGCAGTCGCCTAATAGTATACCATTACGGTATACAATATACTATAAGAGTATATAGCTATAACGCAACTGTACACTATTATAGTATATAATATACTGTAACGGGATATTGTAATAATGTGCAATATACTACAACGATATGCGGTAATAGTATATAATATACCATAATAGTATACTATTTTAATGTAATAGTATAATGTAGAATGAAGAACATAAAATATCATTTTCATATATTGTATGCTATTTTGGTATATAATATATAATTCAATAATATATAGTTTACAACAATAATATATTGTTATAATATACAATATGATGTTATAATTGGGCCATTTTTTAGTTTTTTAAAATTTTTAACTGGATCCTTTTTAAATATTTTAACAAAGTTCTCATGCTTTTTACAATTTTTTCCTTCTTAAAAGAGGTGTTAGATGGAATTCCGTGGAGATGTTATTTATTGCATTAGAAGTAGATGATGAAAATAATAATTATTTCTCTCTTCTCGATACTTAACTTTTATGGGATTTCACCTCTCGATACTTAACTTTTATGGGATTTCACCTCTTGTTGGCTTTCTCAGGTTCTCGCTTCCATCCTCCTTATGTAATGCGTCAAGAATAAATTATGGATACAATTTAATTTCACGGTATAACAATAGTCTCTTATGACTTTCTATTTAACTTTATGAAATGCAATCACGATTCCCTTATCTCCTTTCACTAATAATATTACCCACAAAAGTTGCAATGGGTAGGAAGGGTAATTAATTTGATGGGTAAAAAAATTAATGGGTAGGAAAAAGTAATTAGTTTACTTTTTTTGGGTAAAGCTATAGAACTCCCGATAAAAAGTCCTATTTTCATGGCCCATGTCCAGTTTTATCATGGTAAGTAAATGAAAGTCCAGCCCAGGATTGATCAAGATAGCCTACTAGATCGTTTCGAAAGATGAGTAATGACTAGGGGTATTATCATATTTAGCCAGCATCAGAAACTACTTACAACTGATAGCCGAAAAAGTGTAAAAATTTGTACAATTTTTGTTTATAATATACAGAATGTATATATATACAAAAAATATACAAATTTTATATATTTTCGGCTATTATTTTTACAGCGGCTATACAATGTCATTTTCTTTAATGACTATCAAAAGAGATCATTCGTGCAACGCAGAAGGATACTGCAATTTATCAATTGTCTAACGTAGTACGCTTAATTAGAGGATTCTTGATTTAATTCGTATAAAGTAATGGGTTCACTAGAAATAGTTTTTTCGAAAAATTTCGAGGGAAACCCGCAGCCATTAGCCTTTGGGTGCGCATTAAGTAACCTGTTTATTGTGCAATAGTTCGCAAATCACACAGAAGATGTAAACCGCATTAGACAAGCTCGGTGCGACAAGCTCTGACTGAGGAGGTTGATGGTGAAGGGAATTGTTCTCAAGTCTCCCATGTGAGAAATCACTTACCCAACAAACTCAGGCAACCATGCGGAGCATAAATACATTTGTGGCAGTCCTTTAAAATATCAATAAATTTCAGATCCAAAAATATAAATTTTTAAAAAGACAATAAGTTAAATCGCGTACAAATTTAAAGATAGAAATCTATCAAGTTTAAAACCTTGAATCC